AGCTAATTTCTGAACGCTTTCTTTTACCTCATTGATGTGACTGATGTTCATAGAGCTTGATTCCTCGTTAATACTTGACAAATGAAAGTCTGTGTGAAATCTAATGTTGGTGTTTCTCTCCTTTATGACAAGCTAAAAAAAAAGAGAAAAAAAAAGACGAAAAGATTGAGATGATTTTTCTTTTAGGAGTGAATGGCTAGGAAAATTTCCAAGGATCTCATTATTTCACTTCTAAGTAGGAATGATCACACGAAGGAAGGAAGCGAGGGGTAGGAAAATTTCCTATGACCCCACTATTCGCTGAAAACCTTTGATACAAGATAAGGGGACAAATCGAGGATTCGATGGCAAACACCATCAGTACTCGCAGCTTTAACCTTATCGTGTATATGCCATAAAAAAATGATGATGAGTGTGCGAAAAGAATAAGTCTTGGGCAGAGAAAAGTACCAAAGGATTATATGGCTGATTTGTTTGAGTAAGAGTCTAGAAGGTTCTTGGCATCTGAATCATCAGTGAGACCCATCAATGAGGGTTTATGGACAATGTTGTGGAATTTTGGACTTAATCTGCGGAGAAGTACATGGTAGTTTGATTTGGAATGATGAAGCAGTATTTGAATCACAGGGTGAGCGACCAAAGCGATGTTCCATTGAAAAGTTGAATCTCTGTGTTTTTCAAACCTCTTTCTCTGGCATGGTCTTCTGTTTGCTTAAGGGCAAGCAAATGCTAAGTCTGGAGGATTTGATATATCATGCTTTTATGGTTTTTGACCATGATATAGGTCTTATTTATAGAGTCTTTTTAGTGTTTTTCGAGTTTTTTGGGGTCTTTACAGGTCCTAGGTACATTTGGAGCTTAATTGGAGATTTTAGAGCATTTTGGAGCTAAACGGATTGATTTTCGTGAAGGATGATTTCAGCTGTGCATGAGTGTCGAGCGACACACTTGTTAGTGTCGAGCGACACACTTGTTAGTGTCGAGTGACATCGAAGACCATAAAAGAAAAAACGTGATTTTATCCAATTTCTGAAGAATCTGTGAAGCCCTGAAGTCTTTAATATTTATAAAAAGGCCCAAAACATGGTTTTAGATTTAAGAAAGGTTTTCTGCCTCCTTCATCGATACCTTTTTACTTTTAGACTTTCAGAGAGAAAACTTTTGTCATCTTTACTTTTGAGAGCTTTTGGAGAGACAAGTTTGAACTCTGTTCGTTTTGAGAGAAGATTTCGAACCCCTGTTATTTATTCAGTGATTTCTTATTTGCAATATATTCATTCATGTCTGTTGCTTCAATATTAATGTCTGAGTAGTTAGCTTTTTAGGTTTAGGGTTCTCATAAGGGATTTCATTGAATGTTGGATTGATTTGCTAGTTAGGGTTCATAATCTGATTAGTTCTTCACCATAGGTTGTTTTAAAACTAATTCTAGACTGATCACCTAGAACTTAGATCTTAGGTTAATTGATTGACACGAAAGTGTAATTGAATAACTGGAAAAAAACCTAGGGTGAGCAAAGTAGCTATCCACAAAGAAATTTGGTTTACATACTCTGTGAACATATCGAACCTGCACTTAAGGCTAGTTTATATGTTTAGGATTTGCAAAGAAATTTGGGATTCTAGGATTTAGACTTAGATAATTCTCGTAACGAAAGTTGGTTAATTATAATTTCGTGATTTGAGTTCAAGAACCGCGCTTAACCTGAATCCTGACTAGTTAATTTATCTGCATTCTCTGATTTCTTGAGAAACACCCTGGACCTAATTCCTTCCCATTGAATTTAAAACCATTTTCATTGTCTTGTTGTTTTCAGTTTTGTTATTTCTGCTTAGCATAATTCAAGTCTTTTAGGTCTATTGAGTGAATCTCTCATCTCTGTGGTTCGACCCCTATATACTACAACTGCACATCTGTGCTCTTGCAGAGTAGCTCTAGGGATTAAACTTTGAGCAGATCAGACTACAAACTTGAATTAAAAGAAACAAATTCAAACACAAAATAGTAAAAAGAACATAACAGAACTAAATATGTGCTCGGTCATGAAGATTGCTTTAAGGAAAAACAATAAAGAAGCTTAGGTCAATTTATATTTACGAAAAATACCTGATTACTCCAAAACATTTACGAACACGAATATTTAAAAAGATGTTTAGGAACAATAAAGAAGAGGAACATGATACGAGCATATATAGAGTATGATAGATGCTTTAGGGTTTAGAGTTTTTATGTTGGTGACTCATTTAACAGATTCGGTGGCTATGAACGAGATTAAAACCGCTGGTCCATTAACAAATTCAATGATCTATAATCGATGAAAAAAGCCATATCACACATATTGACACATATGATTAATGACCGTCCTATCAGAATTAATTAAAATAACACATATATAAATTTTAATAATGACACATAAGCAAATCGCTCTGGAGACGACATATAAGATTTTTGACTTTGCAAATAATATTATAGATAGATAATCTATGTAATATATATAAAAAGTAAAAACAAGATTAAAATTTATTTGGATTTTTTTATTATCTAATGACCAATCCAAATAACCCAAATCTAAATTAATATAAATTATTAGACTTAAATAAGTATTCATGAAAACTCATATCCAAACTAAATGAGTTTAATTGGATTGGATTAAATTGGATTGAGTTGGGTTACTTAGATTGGCTACTCCTAACACTAGCAAATTCAATTTTTTTTTTTTGATGAAATGTGATTTTTTAGTTTTTTTTTTTCCATATCAAGATTTTTGAGAAAGAAAAACTATGATTTTGGTTCCGCAATGTGTCATACATAATATAACTGTCTATTTTTTTATATATATATATATATATATATATATATATATATATATATATATATATATATATCGCTTGCGCATTTTGCATTTATTCAACACTCATATATTTATAAATCTATGCCATGCCTGGTGAAAATTGTATATAATCAATTTTGTGCTTTATTGATAGAAAAACTCCTTAAAATTCTACTAAAATAAGTTTTTGTTATAAGCATACTATCACTAGTTTTTTTTCCCAAAACTACCAATAATTTGTTTTTTCCACAAATATCACAATTATTAAAAATTAATATTTAAAGGTAAGAATTTAAATATTTGAAATTCGGTTTAGAATTTTATGTTTAGGGTTTGTTTTTATGATTTAGGGTTTAGTTCTGAGGTTTAAATGTTTAGTTTTAATGTTATGGTTTTTGTGTGTTTGTGGTAATTTTGGAAGAAGAAAAAAAAACTAATAAAATGTTTGAAATGAAAACTTATTTTAGTAGTATTTTTGAGATTTATCAAATTGATGTTAAGTCATTTTTTTATTTCGAACGACCTAAGTTTTTTTAATCCATGACATTTTTGAAATGCCTTTTACAGCTCCAAACTATTCTGTGTATTAATGAAATACGTACTTTATATACGATGGGATGTCGTTAATAAAAAAATTAGAAAATAAGTAAGTTTGTTTGTTTTTTGATAACGCTAAATTGAAAACAAACGGCGTGATTCTTTAATATGTTTTTGACTATTGAACTTAATCATGTTATTGGTTTGTGTATTTAAAAAATCCTTTTGCCTCTTTGTTTATTTACAAAGGCATCATTTCATCTCTTTTTGCTTATGTCATAACTTTTGCTATATACACCTTTATGATGTTTATTACGCATAGTGAACATGATTTTGTGTATTTTGTATCGAAATACTCTTTATTAGTTTTTTTTTTCTTTGTTTTAATAGACCTACAAGCATATCTTGTTTTTGTTCCTTAGTGTTTTTTTTATGTATCTAATCCCTATAAGCATAAGATGAATTTTCAAAAGATGATGTTTCAAAAGATGATGTTTGATCTTGGCGAATTCTGAACAATACTTTAGGCTATTCGTTGTTATTTTCATTGTTATTTATGAAAGGTAGGCAAAGTTTGATGGGGTGGAAGGGGGGAACCGATAGATTCATGTTTTGTTATTATTCATAGAAGGTACTAAACGCGAAGTTTGTAAATAGAACTGTGGATTTGTTACTTCCACTTTTTTGTTGAAAGATAGTTGAGAGATGTGTCCATGTTTTTTTTGTTGTAAATCATATGTTTGAAGTTGATCATGGAATGAAAATCTGCCCAAGTCATGTACGAATGATACTAAAATCTGTCTCGGCATTTGTTGTTTAAGGATGTGATTTTGTTGCTGTTTTAATGTTTTTAATAAGAAATGGTTACACAGTATATACTGGGTGGGGAAGCGAAGAAAGCGAGGCCTTATGTGAAGTTGTACATCTTGGTAGATTTCAAAGTGAATCTTTACTGGGACTATGAGAACAAGAAAGTGGATCCACGTTTTGACTTCACGAGTTTCATCGAAAACATCGAAGCTTCACTGAAGAAATTGGATAATCGATATCACATAGGTTTGGATTGCCGTTGGGGGTTCGAACCAGCAATTTATTAATAATAATCATAAAGCATTTTCTTGGCTTAGGTTCAAGTTTGTTATTGTTATGAAACCAAACATAAAGATCTATTCATAAACAAAACCAATCGTAGATCTCATTCGTATATGTTTTTAACACATTTATTGATCATTTTTTTTTTAAATGTTTTTATGATATAAATAGAGGATCTATATTTTATATTGTGTTTATGATCGTCAAAATAATTAAGATGGACCTGAGTTTACTTTGGCATTTTGTAATTTGATTATGAATTTTCTTCTCCTGTAATATCATCATCATCTATGAAAATTTTGGCTATTCAATTTGTATAGCGTACCTGTAAAATCCAACTTTTTCAGCTCTTGTTGTAGTTGCTAGTAAGATTTAGTCTGTACAAATTCAAAGGAACATAGTTTTGGAATTAGCAATGTTTTAGATTCTATACATTTCAGCTGATATTACCTAGCTTCTCCATTGAACTATTAAACATGTTCTAATATCTTGTCCTAAAATAATATATTTGTGTTGTTGACAAAATTCTTAATGAATATTTCATGAGTGATGTTGCTGTTGAACTACCAAAACACAGGCCCTAGATCTAAGATCTTTAACTGCCAACAAATCTCCAATGACACCTAACTCTGGTAGTTCTATCCATTCTTTCAGTCCTGAAAAATCTGGTGATGACATTCCATGATCTCTCCCAACCACCATAAGATCATACTCTTCTGCGAGCAGTCGAACTGAAGTAGCCACTTCAGGACCACCGGTCACAGTCCTTTCTGTATATGATATATTTTTTGTTTCCTCCGAATCTTTCAATCCTGTTATAACCTCGTGATCAAGAATGTAATCCCAGTTCGTCGAATCTGTTTCTAGGTTAGATACTAGTCGAATCACAGCCACACGGACGTTTGGGTTGTGTTTCATCCTAGTCACCAATGACAATGCCTCGCGATCGTCTTTGCCTCCAATAAATATCATACATACGTTAATGTTGTCCCTTCTCTGACTTTTACGAAAGAACTGTCCACGATCCACAAATATCCCAATAGAACATGGCGCATATTCGAGTAGTGAGGTGTTAAGACGCCTTATGGCCGGATCGTCTGCCTCAAACGCCCCATCAATGGTCCATGTTCTTCCAGACGGGACTACAATCATGGACGATGTCTGGTCTAGTGCGAGCATGCAGATATCTTCATGCATTAGGTTTTCATGCGAGAGAGCTGTGAACATGGCCACATTCGTTGAATCCAAGCTCTCCTGGATAAACTGGCTGAAGACAAGGTTTGCGGTATGGATGTAGGAGTTATTGATCAATTTTTTTGAGTTCTTGTTGTGCGAGATCAAGACCGGGACGATTTGTCCCACGAGCTTCACGAGGTGGAGGACCGTAACCATTATGGGGAGTTCTTGGTTCGGCGAGGACAATAATTGGATGAATTCAATGGCCCTAGAGATATACTCAGGTTTGTGCACACAAGTTAGGATACGAAGATCTGAGTCTGGTTCTAGACTCAAGATGTTCCTTTTTTGGTAACCAATGTACTTCCGCTTTGGATCATACATACTCCTTATGGCTAGCGGGACAATCCCAGAGTAGAATAGCGCGTAAAAGATCAAAAACGAGTATGTTGCATGCGATATATACTGCAAAAAAGCACCATATAAATAAATATAGATCATAACAAAATGGATTATAAAGTTTGCTTTTTTTTTTCTTTGGAAAGGGATTACCTTGTCATCGAATGTAGATTCGTAAAGAAAGATCTCTGAGAAACTCTTGCAGCTCAAGAGGATGGAAAGAGCTATGGACTCCGTGAGAGGTAACTTGCAGTACAAACAAGATGCAATACCCGCAACTAGTTTCAAGACAAGTGTCAGCACCATTAGGAAGATGTTGTATATGATTTCATCTAGGTCGTAAACAATCTTCATAATATCACATCGCATCGTGCTGAATGCGATCGAGATTGGCAAGAACACGTTTAACGTGAGCTTCTCATACTTGTCCTCTAAGGTAGATCCTAAAGGTGGACCTTCTGGTATAACGAGGCCGATCATGAGTGGTCCCAAGAGGTATTTCATGTGAAAGGCCGTGGAGTAAACGGCAGAGCCCATTACTGTTAATATTACAATGTGTACATACCTATCCGCCACAGGTTTGCCTTCTGGTGTTTGTTCTACTATCCATTCCATGGCCGGCTTAACAACGAAAAAGACGAGGAGAAAGAAGATGATCATCGCAATAAGGTCAATGTAGGCGGTCGAGTGTGAGATGTTTTTGTATGTTCCCAGAGAATAAGCGAGTACAATGAAAGAAACACTAAGAATGTCATTGATAATGGATGCAGACAACGCAAGGCGACCAAACTCAGAGTTAAGTATATTGAGCTCCGACAATAAATAGGTTATGGTGGGCAAGAGTATCGAAGATTGTGTTGCAAAGATCACAGAACGCTCGGAGAGGGCCTTTTTTGGCGGCATGTAGTTTGGGTTGAGGTTATCAGTGAAGAGGTTCCGAAAACCGAGGCCTATAACCAGAGGAACGATGAAGGTCAAAATCCCAATAAAAACGGGCAACAGTCCGGTATTGAAGACCACTCGCCGACTGGTCTTTACGGACATTAGGAATGTAAACATCATGCCTCCACAAGCCGAGAAGGCTCTTAACGACACGTTTCCACTCAGCACAGGATCCCACGATAGTTTCCGTGCTGACTTCTCCCTGAGATCAAACAGATGAGGTCCCAAAATTATACCAGCCTGCAAACATGAGAAACATTGAAATTATATATCTTCTTTTTTTTTTCTAACGTTTCTTTAACATCTTACGTTCTGCCAAGTTACGTACTAGTCACATACGTGCATGGCAAGTTAACTAAAAGATTTACATGCGGAAACCCAGACTAATTTTTGAAATATATGGGAAAAAACTGGACGTACTTGTCATTTAATTTTATTAATTATGATTCTTTCAGTTAACAGGATGAATGTAATGTAATGGGATGCAAATATGGAAACAAATTAAGATAATTTTGCTCAAGATTACGGTACTTACGATCATATAGGAAGCGATCTGGGAAATGCCGATCCATTTGAGGAACATGTGATGAGTCATGACGATAGATGCCAAGATGAGTAATATCTGAATCTCCATGAGTGGCAATGAAAACCCAAATATCATACCGGGCGACTTTAAATTCTCCCATAATCCATTGGAAGAGATGTTGAATAATAAGGGTTGGCAAATATCCTCGTTGTAGGTCGTCGTGTTCATGAATACGAACGTGGGTCAAGACTCAAGAAACGAGCAAAATGTTAGAATCTTGGTGTATAAGCTCTTGCCTCTTGGGATTTAAAAAAAAAAGAAAAAAAAAGAATTAGAACATGTGAAACTTTGGATACGACTTCTGAAAAGAGTTGGTATATTTTTGTCGTTTTTTTTTTTGTTTTGGTCTTCGATAAGTATCTCTTTTCGTAGGAGTTAGTTATTGTCATAAGCTGTTTGGATTTTTGGCGCGTATAATTTGTTGAAACACCTACTTGTCCGGAGCTGGAAAGACTTAATTATATACCCAAAAAAATTAAAAATATAACACACACGTTGACTTATACATATATATGCATTTGACTTTTGACATTGAGCAATAACAACACATATTCAGATAGTTTTACTATATCTAATTTTGGGCAACAAAATATTTGTGGAATTGTTGACGAAAATAAAATTATATTGTGGAACCAATGGACTTTTCAAAATTAGGAACAAATCTATAGAGTAATAAAATTAAATATGTGAAAATGCGTGTTTCTAAATACAGGAAAATTTTGTTGCCAGCAAATTAATTAAGCATGATAAAATTATCTGAATTTGTTGTGTTATAACAAATCATACCCGCCAAAATCCAAACAGTTTCCGACTAACTAACTCTTAAGTCTTAATCAAAAACCAGAACAAATTAAACAACCAAGATTAGACATCTCGTTTGAAATCTCGTATCCAAAGATTCAGACGTTCTCTATAGTCTTTTTGTTTCTTATTTTTTTTTTTTAAACTTCCCCAGAAGTCAGATACACCAAAATTCTATAATTTCTCTCGTTGCTTGGCCCATATTTATGAATACAACAACCAATATCGCCGTTGGTTGCAGATCCTTGTTTTTCAACACCTCTTCTTTTGGATTATGGGAGAACCCAAAATCGCCATATGCGGTTTTCGGTTACTCACTCCCTCTCCTGGAAATTCAGATACTACTCATATTCATTTCCATCGTCTTGACTCACGGGCTTCTCAGATGCATAGGCATTTCCCAGATTGTGTCCCATTTCATGGTAAGTACCATTTCATATGTAACGTGATAGGCACGTAAGATATTTAAGCGCATATTTTAACGATCATGCCTTCTATTCAAGATAGTTTCAATCTTCTGAATATATCAATATATTATGTTCAGGCTGGTCTGATTCTTGGGCCTCAATTGTTCGATCTTTTGGAGAAATCGTCAGAGAAACTATCGTTTGATCCGGCGCTGGATGGAACTGCAGCGTTAAGAGGCTTCGCAGTGTGTGGAAACATCATGTTTACGTTCTTAATGTCAGTTAGGATTAGCCGTCGATTGGCGTTCAACAGCGGGCCGCTGCCCATTGTGATCGGGATCTTGACCTTCATAGTGCCTCTATTCGGCGGTTTATGTTTCCGGAACCTCTACACGGACAATGTTGACCCTCATTACATGCCACCGAAGAAAGTCCTCTCTGAGCGCCTTGTGATTATCTCAAGTCAATCCTCAATTCTCTTGCCAACCGTCACTTACGTCCTATCTGAGCTCAAGATCCTTAACTCAGAGCTTGGTCGTCTTGTATTGTCTGCATCCATGATCAATGACGTCCTTGGGGTCTTTGTTAGCATACTTGCTTATAGTGCGGGAACATACAAGAATGTGTCCCCTGAAACAGCTTATCGTGACATTATAGCAGTGACTGTCTTCTGTCTCGTTGTCTTTTTCATTTTTAGGCCGGCCGTAGAATGGGTAGTCAAACGCACACCAGAAGGCAAACCTGTGGCGGATAGGTATATACACGCTATGATTTTGAGCGCACTTGGCTCTGCTGCTTACTCTGAATTCTTCAATATGAAATATCTCTTGGGACCATTTACGGTCGGCCTCATCATACCAGACGGTCCACCTTTAGGTTCAACTTTGGAAACCAAGTATTATGATCTAACGAAGAGCGTGTTAATACCGATCTCAATCGCGTTCAGCACGATGAGATGTGACATAATGAAGATCATATACGCATTAGACGACATCATGTACAACATGTTCCTAATGGCCCTAACGCTCGCTTTGAAACTAGCCGCTGGCATTTTACCTTGCTTGTACTGCAAGTTACCACTCAAAGAGGCCTTTGCCGTTGCCATCCTCTTAAGTTGCAAGAGTTTCTCCGAAATCTTTCTCTACGAATCCACATTCGATGATTCCGTAATCCCCTTACCCACATAGATCAATCTTTTTTTTTAAAAAAAAAATCCATTTCGCTATGATCTTTTAATGTTTACATGGTTCTTTATTTTTGCAGTATATATCGCAGGCTACATACACGTTTTTGGTCGTTTATGCGCTATTAAATTCAGGTTTTGTCCCAGCAGCCTTGGCCAATTTGTACAATCCGAAGCGGAAGTATGTTGGTTACCAAAAAAAGAATATCTTGAGTCTCAGGCTAAACTCAGATCTCCGGATACTCACTTGCGTGCACAAACCTGAGAACATATCTGGAGCCATTAAAGTCCTCCAATTATTGTCCTCACCGAACAAAGAACTTCCCATCGCGGTCACGGTCCTCCACCTCGTGAAGCTTGTGGGTAAAGTCATCCCCGTTCTAATCTCACACAGCAAGAATTCAAAAAAACTGATGAATAACTCATACATCCATACCGCAAACCTTGCCTTTAGTGAGTTGGATTCGGTGACACTGACCATGTTCACTGCTCACACTCATGAGAATCTGATGCACGACGAGATCTGCACGCTCGCGCTGAATCAGATCACGTCGATGATTATCGTCCCGTCCGGGAGGAAGTGGACCATAGAGGGGGCGTTTGAATCAGACAACGAGGCGATAAGGCGTCTCAACGTGTCGCTACTTGACCACGCTCCTTGTTCTATTGGGATACTCGTGGACCGTGGACAGTTCTCGCGCAGGGGCACGAGAAAGTATCGTATCAATATTGGTGTGATTTTCATTGGAGGCAAAGACGATCGCGAGGCAGTGTCACTTGTGAAGAGGATGAAAATGAACCCAATGGTCAATGTAACTGTGACCCGATTCATCTTTAATCAAGAAACAGAGGTTACAAATTTTGAACACATTCTTGATCACGAGGTTTTGGAGGATCTGAAATGTACAGAGGCAACTAATTGTATCGCATACACAGAGAGGACTATGAGGGGTGGTCCTGAAGTGGCCACCACCATCCGATTGCTCTCTCAGGATTATGATCTTATGGTGGTCGGGAGAGATCACAGCAAGGCAAAACCGGACTTCTCAGGACTCACGGAGTGGATCGAACTCTCGGAGTTAGGTGTCATTGGAGATTTGTTAGCTGCTAGAGATCTCGAGAATAGGGTTTCTGTTTTGGTAGTTCAACAACAACAGACCTGAAAATAGTTGTTTGTTTATACATGTAAAGCTTAGTTCTTGTAAGCACCAAAGTTATGATATTTGTAATGAACCAAGAACTCTCTCTTCTCTCTCTATTGAATCGATTCACTCGTGTGTTTAGAAACTAAAGAACATAAATGTAAAGTGACACCCAGAATTTAACGAGTTCACGACCCAAACTTGGTCGCTACGTCTCGCCAGAAAAGCTTCCGGAAAATCCACTAAGACCTTTAGCACTCAAGGTGCTTCTTTTGTCACTTACAACCTCTCTGTTCTAACTCTTTCTACACACGCCTGTCTCTGTACAAAACCATTTGACTCTGTTTTATACCCTGAGTTAACTCATGTGACAACGGCACTAAACTCGAGTCTTGAACTCTAGTTAGCTTGTCACTTAGCGAGATGAAGATAAGAAGAAGTTGCTGCAGGCTCTGCTTCTTCAGACTTGTAGCACGCTCTTGTCTCCTCTGCGTGTGTAGATAGTACATTAGGTAGAAACAAGTCGCTTTCTGTGGGAGTTCGTCCTCGGGATGAGAAGGCTTGTCTTGGGATCCGCATCATCTTCCTTCCCTCCATTTTGTCGTGAGTTTGCCTAAGTGATAGAAACCTTTTCTTTCGGACAGAGTCTTTGATTTTCTCTCATATCTGATAGAGAGGTTGAGACACTCTGCACCTGATAGAGACTTTGATCAGAAGCCTCTTTCTTAACAGAGTCCGAACATAGACTAACTCCTTTGTGGTATCAAACTAACCACCACAAAACTCCTCCTTGGTTTGATAACCACATACCACTTTTAACCTTGTCTTAGTGTCCTTGGATTTTCCCTTTTCCGGATTCTTTCACTACTGATTAGTGTCTTGAAATGTTGAGCAACTCCAATGCCTTTTGAAGTTTGCTCACTGGAACAATCTTTGTAAAAATATCTGCAGGATTCCATAACGTTGATACCTTGGAGACTTTGATTTCTCCTTCTGCAATCATGTCCCGAATAAAGTGTAGACGCACATCTATGTGCTTAGTCCTCTCGTGATGAACAGAGTTCTTTGCCAAAGCTATGGCACTCTGAGAATCACACATGACTTCAACCTTTTCTTGTTCATAACCCAGCTCACCTGTGAGACCCTTGAGCCAAACTGCTTCCTTCACTGCCTCTGTTAGCGCCATGTATTCAGCTTCTGTAGTAGATAGTGCAACAACCTTTTGAAGTCCTGATTTCCAACTGATAGCATTCCCACCCGAAGTGAACACAAAACCTGTTACTGACCTCCTCCTGTCTTGGTCAGCCGCATAGTCTGAATCGCAGAATCCTCTGATCTCAACATTGTCGTGCTTCTTGTAGCTCAGCTTTGAACCCTCTGATCCTTTGATGTACCTCAAGATCCACTTTACTGCCAACCAGTGTTCTTTTGTAGGCTTACTCATGAACCGACTTACAACGCATAATGGATACGCTAAGTCGGGTCTTGTTCCTATCATGGAATACATGATGCTTCCAACAGCATTCGAATAAGGCACTGACTTCATGTATTCTGCCTGAGATGCCCACTCTTCTTCCGTTGCAGACTTGAGTTTGAAGTGAGTCCCTAACTGTGTTTGAACCCCTTTTGACTGATCCATTCTGTACATCTGTAGAACCCTTTTAAGGTAGTCATTCTGAGATACTTCCAAAGTACCTCTTTGTCTGTTCCTTTTGATTTCCACACCCAATATCTTCCTTGCTTCCCCTAGATCCTTCATTTCGAATTCAGAGCTTAGCAGATCCTTTAGTTCTTGGATCTTCCTTCTGTCTTTTGCTGCAATCAACATATCATCTACATATAGAAGTAGGTAGATGTATGTATGATCATCCAGCTCTCTGTAGTAGATGCAGCTATCGTAGTTGCTTCTCTTGTATCCTGAGTTCTTCATGAAGTTGTTAAACCGTTGATTCCACTGTCTTGGCGCTTGTTTAAGCCCGTACAGGGATTTTTTAAGAAGACAGACTTCATCTTCATTTCCTGTCTTCACTTTATAACCCTCAGGTTGCTCCATGAGTATATATTCATCCAGGTTCCCATGTAGGAATGCTGTTTTAACATACAGTTGCTCCAGCTCAAGATCGAAGTTCACCACATAGGATAAGATAAGACGAATCGAGACATGCTTCACAACAAGTGAGAAGATTTCTTGATAATCAACTCCCTCTTTCTGCAGATACCCTTTGGCGACCAACCTCGCTTTGTATCTAGGCTGTTCTGACCCTTGAATACCAGGTTTTCTCTTGTAGATCCATTTACAGCCGATGACCTTGCAGTTGTCAGGTCGTTTTACCAATAAGAACGTCTGATTCTTGTGTTGTGATAGCATCTCTTCATCCATTGCTTCTTTTCACAGCTTCAGTCTTTGTCTCTAACTGCTTCTTCATAACAACTCGGTTCTGGATAGTCTCCATCTTCTGTTACCATTAGAGCAAGTCCTGACATGTTTTCTTCGCTCAGCTCCACAAGATTCGAGTCATTGAACTTTGCAGGTCTTCTGGTAACTCTTCTTTCTCTATCTCTTGTCAACTGATAGTTTTCTAACTCACTGTTGGGTTGAGGTTCTTCATCTTCAGAGTTGTCATCCTGATCTTGATTATCGGTTTCCGTGTGATGTCCTTCAGTTTGATCTTCTTCTGAGTTGTTAGGAGCTCCTCCTAGATCCCTGAAATCACCACTGTTAACTTCATAACTGATAGGTGGTTCAGGAGCTTGTACCTCTCCTTCTGATTCTGATTGTTGGTTGAGATGCTTGTACATCTTTTCTTCTTGGAGGATTGCATCTCTTGAGATGATGCACTTCTTCTCTTCTACGAGCCAGAACTTGTAACCCTTAACTCCTGGTGGATATCCTATGAAGATTCCTTTCTTTGCTCTCGGATTAAGCTTCCCTTGATCACTGTGAATGTATGCAATAGCACCAAACACCCTCAGATCCTCATATTTTGGCTTAACTCCGGTCCATATTTCCTCTGGTATCTCGAACTCCATAGCTGATGATGGAGATCTGTTGATTTGGAATAAGCCCAGAAACTCTTTGGTAGTCCTGATTCGCTGAGAACACTCCTGACTTTGTTGAGAATTGTTCTGTTCATCCTCTCTGCGATCCCGTTTTGTTGGGGTGTGTAAGCACAAGTTTTGTGTCTTACAATGCCTTCAGTTTTGCAGAAATCATCAAATTCCCGGTTGCAGAACTCCAGGCCATTGTCAGTTCTCAGTGTCTTGACTTTCTTCCCGAGCTGATTCTCAATCATCTTTTTCCATTCAACAAAACTCCCATATGCTTCATCTTTTCTTTTCAGAAAATATATCCACGTTTTTCTTGAGTAATCATCTATAAAGGAGATGAAATACTGACATCTGCCGAGTGAGTATGGAACATTTGGGGATCCCCACAGGTCAGAGTGAATGTAGTCCAACCTTTCCTTTGTGACATGTTTCCCAGCTCCAAAACTGACTCGGTGAGCTTTCCCATATACACAGTCTTCACAAAAGCTCATGTCGGTAACTTTGTCTTTGTCTAAGTACCCTTTCTTGATTAGGACCTTCATGCTCTTCTGACTCATATGACCAAGTCTTCGGTGCCAAAGTCTTGTTTCATCTCTATGCTCAACAGAAACACCAACTTCACCTAGTACAACTGATCCACTTAGTACGTAAAGAGTATCAGTTTTCCTTCCTTTGATGAGGGTTCTGCAGCCTTTGTTTATCTTCATAATCCCTTCCTTAGATTGAAACCAGCACCCTTGATCTTTGAGAGTTCCCAGAGAGATAAGGTTTTTAGTCATCTCTGGAACATATCTCACATTGGTCAAGAGAACAGTAGAGTTGTCTTTGTTCTTGATCCGGATACTTCCAATTCCTCTTACTGCAGAGTAAGTGTCGTTCGCCATTCTTACTTTCCCTGATGATGATTCCTTCAGCTCAATGAACCATTCTTTTCTTGGAGTCATGTGGAATGAACATCCTGTGTCCATTATCCACTTGTCCTTTAGTTCTTCTTCTAATGATAGAAAGGCTTCAGAGACCATCAAAGCTGCAGCGTCTTGTACTTGGCTGGTGACATTCGATGATTCACCTCCTTCTCTCTGTTTGTTTCTTTCCTTCCGTACAAAACTTTGCTTCTTGTAGTGGCCGTCTTTTCCACAGATCCAACAGGTCTTCTTCCCTTTAGACTTGGATCTTGCTTTCTGCTTCCCTTTATCACTGTTCTTGTCCCTCTTTTCTGTTCTGCCTCTGTCTTGAACAAAGAGACCTTCTGAGCTGTTTCTGGTTAGCTTCCCACTTGCCCCTAGTTCCAGTTCTTTTGATCTGACCGCTCCTATTATCTCATCCAGAGATAGAGACGTTTTCCCATACTTCAGAGTATCTTTGAGGTGGTCAAATGCTTTAGGAAGGGCCATAAGAAGTATAATGGCCTGATCCTCGTCTGAGACTGAAACTTTAACATGTTCCAGATCTGTAATGAGTCGCAGAAAATCATTGATATTCTCTTCAATCGTCATACCATCACTCATACTGTAGCTATAGAGTCGTTGCTTGAGGTATATGCGATTTGGTAGAGACTTGGCCATGTAAAGTTGATCGAGTACCTTTAACATGGCTGCAGCTGATTTCTCCTTGATGATTTTCCTGAGGACATTGTCTCCAACACTTAGGATAACTGTAGATCTGACTTTCTTCTTCTTTTCTGCCAGGGACTTCTCGGAAGTGTCCTCCTCTTTCGTCTTAACCGTAGCTTCTGATGTTTGTTCCGATGAAGCTTCAGAGTCTTGAGTTTCATCTTCCATCAGACCTTCTGTCAAACCCAGAATCTCGATGTGAGCTAGAAGCTTTTCTTTCCAAAGCATGTAGTCTCCTTTTCCATCGAACTTCTCCATCTCTACTCTTGCTGAAGACATCTTTCCTCAGATCTTGAGTGGAGAACCCCCAAACCTGGAGCTCTGATACCAATTTGTGAAGCTTAGTTCTTGTAAGCACCA